TTTTACGTAGACCTCTCTTCTGTTGATGTTTTACGTTGACCTCTCTTCTGTTGATGTATTACGTTGACATCTCCTCTGTTGATGTATTACGTTGACCTCTCTTCTGTTGATGTATTACGTTGACATCTCCTCTGTTGATGTATTACGTTGACCTCTCTTCTGTTGATGTTTTACGTTGACCTCTCCTCTGTTGATGTATTACGTTGACCTCTCTGTTGTTGATGTATTACGTAGGCCTCTCCTCTGTTGATGTATTACGTTGACCTCTCCTCTATTGATTTATTACGTTTACCTCTTCTCTGTTGATGTTTTACGTTGACCTCTCCTCTGTTTTTAGATCACCTGGCCCGAAATGCCATGTGAGCTCATGCCATACTGTGGCGTCCGTCGTCCGTCTTCTTCTGAAGAACTGTAGGACCTAGGGTCATGATATTTGGCCAGTAGGTACCTGGGATGGAGTGCTATTAAGTTTCCTCATTAAAATGACCTTGACCTACTTTCAAGGTCACAGCGGTCAAATATGTGAAACATTTCAAACATCAATATCCTAAGGACCATTTGAACAAGAGTCATGATACTGGGGTATGTTATGTAGACCAGTAGTGCGAATATTTGTCTCAATTACAGTAATGAGGTCAAAGGTCAACTTTAAATGCTAGTCGGGGGTCAAATGTCAACTTTGGTTAAAAGCTTTAACAATCTTCTTCTCAAGTTCCATTAGGCCCAGGGTCATGATATTTGGCCAGTAGGTACCTGGGATGGAGTGCAATTAAGTTTCCTGATTAAAATGACCTTGACCTACTTTCAAGGTCACTGGAGTCAAATTTGTTAAAAACTTCAAACAACAATATCATAAGAACCATTTGGACTAGAGTCATGATACTTGGGTATATTATGTAGACCAGCCGTGCAAATATTTTTCTCTAACACAGTAATGACGTCAAAAGTCAACTATAAGTGCAAGTCGGGGTCAAAGGTTAACATGGGTAAAAGGCTTTAACAATCTTCTTCTCAAATTCCATAAGACTCAGGGTCATGTTATTTGGCCAGTAGGTACCTGGGATGAAGTGCTTTAAACTCTCCTCATTAAAATTACTTTGACCTACTTTCAAGGTCACAGGGGTCAAATATGTTAAAAACTTTAAACAACAATATCCTAAGAACCATTTGGACTAGAGTCATGATACTTGGGTATGTTATGTTATGTTATGAATTGTCTTCTTATTACATTAATGAGGTCAAAGGTCAACTTTAAGTGCCAGTCGGGAGTCAAGGGTCAATATGGGTTAAAAGCTTTAAAATTAAAATTTCAAGTTTCAAACAACAATATCTTCAGAACCGTTTAAGAGATGTTAGAATGTCTTGTGTTCTAGTTACCAAATTTGGTCTTAAGCTACCTATATGTCAGTTGCATGTATCGAAAGAAACAGGTGAGCGATACAGGCCCTCTAGGCCTCTTGTTGTATCATGTTGACCTCTCCTCTGTTGATGTATTACGTTTACCTCTCTTCTGTTGATGTATTACGTTGACCTCTCCTTTGTTTTTGTTAAAGTTGACCTTTCCTCTGTTGATGTATTACGTTGATCTCTCGAATGTTTCCTTTTTTCGGTGAGTTTTCGTTTGTTGAAGTTTTTGTCCATCCGTGTTGGTATCTATTGTTGCTTTCTTATTATGTCTACTTGAGTTTGTTAGGTTTTTTCCTTATTGCGGCTTTGGTTTACGCCCATAATGAACTGATTTGGCTATTTGCATTATTTGTTTCTATGATTTCTCCCTTTAGTGTTGCTAAAGTCACGTGTGTCAAATTTGTTAAAACATTCAAACAACTTCTTCCGAAATACCAAGAGGTCTAGGGTTGACCAGTAAAACCTCGATATCGTGAATTTCGTTAGGAAAATATGCTACCTTGTTTATTTAAAGTTAAATGCCGATACAACGTCGCTCGTTTATACTAGCAAAACCTTGATGTAATCGTCAACTTTTTATCTCACCAATGATAGCGTCAGCATTTCGTCATATCCATGGATAACGTCAGCATTACGTCATATCCATGGATAGCGTCAGCATTTCGTCATATCCATGGATAGCGTCAACATTACGTCATATCCATGGATAGCGTCAGCATTTCGTCATATCCACGGATAACGTCAACATTTCGTCATATCCATGGATAGCCATGGATAGCGTCAGCATTTCGTCATAGCCATTGATAGCGTCAACATTACGTCATCTCCATGGATAGCGTCAGCATTTCGTCATAGCCATTGATAGCGTCAACATTACGTCATATCCATGGATAACGTCAACATTTCGTCATATCGATGGATAGCGTCAGCTTTTCGTCATATCCATAGATAACGTCAACATTTTGTCATATCCATGGATAGCTTCAGCATTTCGTCATATCCATTGATAACGTCAACATTTCGTCATATCCATGGATAGAGTCAGCATTTCGTCTTATCCATGGATAACGTCAACATTTCGTCATATCCATGGATAGCGTCAGCATTTCGTCATATCCATGGATCACGTCAACATTTCGTCATATCGATGGATAGCGTCAGCATTTCGTCATATCCATAGATAACGTCAACATTTCGTCATATCCATGGATAGCTTCAGCATTTCGTCATATCCATGGATAACGTCAGCATTTCGTCACATCCATTGATAACGTCAACATTTCGTCATATCCATGGATAGCGTCATCATTTCGTCATATCCAAGGATAACGTCAACATTTCGTCATATCCATGGATAGCTTCAGCATTTCGTCATATCCATGGATAACGTCAACATTTCGTCATATCCATGGATAGCGTCATCATTTCGTCATATCCAAGGATAACGTCAACATTTCGTCATATCCATGGATAGCGTCAGCATTACGTCATATCCATGGATAACGTCAGCATTTCGTCATATCCATGGATAAGGTCAACATTTCGTCATATCCATTGATAACGTCAACGTTTCGTCATATCCATGGATAGCGTCAGCATTTCGTCTTATCCATGGATCACGTCAACATTTCGTCATATCCATGGATAGCGTCAGCATTTCGTCATATCCATGGATAACGTCAACATTTCGTCATATCCATGGATAGCGTCAGCATTTCGTCATATCCATGGATAACGTCAACATTTCGTCATATCCATGGATAGCGTCAGCATTTCGTCATATCCATGGATAACGTCAACATTTCGTCATATCCATGGATAGCGTCAGCATTTCGTCATATCCATTGATAACGTCAACATTTCGTCATATCCATGGATAGCGTCAGCATTTCGTCATATCCATGGATAACGTCAACATTTCGTCATATCCATGGATAGCGTCAGCATTTCGTCATATCCATGGATAACGTCAACATTTCGTCATATCCATGGATAGCGTCAGCATTTCGTCATATCCATGGATAACGTCAACATTTCGTCATATCCATGGATAGCGTCAGCATTTCGTCATATCCATGGATAACGTCAACATTTCGTCATATCCATGGATAGCGTCAGCATTTCGTCATATCCATGGATAACGTCAACATTTCGTCATATCCATGGATAGCGTCAGCATTTCGTCATATCCATGGATAACGTCAACATTTCGTCATATCCATGGATAGCGTCAGCATTTCGTCATATCCATGGATAACGTCAACATTTCGTCATATCCATGGATAGCGTCAGCATTTCGTCATATCCATGGATAACGTCAACATTTCGTCATATCCATGGATAGCGTCAGCATTTCGTCATATCCATGGATAACGTCAACATTTCGTCATATCCATGGATAGCGTCAGCATTTCGTCATATCCATGGATAACGTCAACATTTCGTCATATCCATGGATAGCGTCAGCATTTCGTCATATCCATGGATAACGTCAACATTTCGTCATATCCATGGATAGCGTCAGCATTTCGTCATATCCATGGATAACGTCAACATTTCGTCATATCCATGGATAGCGTCAGCATTTCGTCATATCCATGGATAACGTCAACATTTCGTCATATCCATGGATAGCGTCAGCATTTCGTCATATCCATGGATAACGTCAGCATTTCGTCATATCCATTGATAACGTCAACCTTTCGTAATATCCATGGATAGCGTCAGCATTTCGTCTTATCCATGGATAACGTCAACATTTCGTCATATCCATGGATAGCGTCAGCATTTCGTCATATCCATGGATAGCGTCAACATTTCGTCATATCCATGGATAACGTCAACATTTCTTCATATCCATGGATAACATCAGCATTTTGCCATACCCACTGCTAGCGTCAACGTTTCGTCATATCCATGGATAACGTCAACATTTCGTCATATCCATGGATAACATCAGCATTTTGCCATACGTCATATCCATGGATAGCGTCAGCATGTCATATTCATGGATAGCGTCAGCATTTCGTCATATCAATGGATAGCGTCAGCATTTCGTCATATCCATGGATAGCGCCAGCATTTCGTCATATCCATGGATAGCGTCGACATTTCGTCATATCCATGGATAGCGTCAGCATTTCGTCATATCCATGGATAACGTCAACATTTTGCCATACCCACTGCTAGCGTCAACATTTCGTCATACCCATGGAAAACGTCAATATTTCGCCATTCCCTTGGAAAACGTCAACATTTCGCTTATCCCATGGATAACTTCAACATTTGCTTTGCTTTACCTAACTTTACCTTTGGTAGGGGATGATTGTTTTTTCTCCCATCCAGTTTCAATCACAAATCCGCCGACAAGCGGTTAGTGCATGAAAAATAAGCGTTGATTGCATGTTTTTCCAGTAAATCAAAAGTTTGCTTCTGTTGACGTGACGTCAATGCATTGATGATGGGACGTCATACTAAATGGTGGTAATATTATTACAAGGTCTTACTGTAAATAAAAGGCGAAATCACGCGCTGTCATACCATTTAAAAAAAAAGACGTTTAAAAAAGAGAACGCAAACGACACAACTTCTTTTTTTCTTAATTTTTATAGTTTAGACACAATCAATCTGAAAGCTTTAAATTAATAGCACGTACGTAATAAGTATACAACTCCCAGTAGTCGACATCATAACCCAAGTACTGGTCATTAACGTATAGTCCTCTGCTTGTACTGACAAAATGAACGCGTGTACATTTATTTACATAATATACATCGTAATTATATAAGTAACTATATGTATATATAGACGTCTTACGACAGTGCCCAGTGACACACACTACACCTCTTCTCGCATCGCATACACAAATCTGATGCCATCAAGTCGGTTTGTCAGGAAGAAATGGAAAGCGTTAATGTAATGCCATTTCAAGAAAAAAGCGAAATAGCGACTTGATAAGTCATTGACTTACGCTCACCAATCCTATTCTTTCTTAATACCCCAATTTACTCATTGACTCAACAACTCTTACTATCTCGCATTCATCCGCGTTTTCTCCATCCTTTTCACAATAAACTGCCACTAAATTACAGGACAATTCACTTAATATATATTAAATAAAATCAATAAAATGTCATTTTGTTTTGTTCTAGGTTTCATCAAAATTTTATCCTATATACGGTTGCTACAGAAGCATGAAGCACTCAGTTTGAACCACTAAGTGAACTAGAACCTACATCAGCACTAGTATGCTACATTAATAAACGTTGCAGACGTCGTCGACATCAGTCCATAAACTACATGTAAAAACTATGTAACTATTGAAAAATACATTAATGTTATCTCTCAGCAACAAGTTTCTTACTTCGTTGTCACTTCCGGTCCCCAATAGAAAGGACATCAAACCTCAGCCGTTAACGTAGGAAACAATGAGTAACATTGTTATCCAGTAGCCGTCATAGTCCAATAGAACTTCACCAATCACATTTCTGTCAGTATATACCAGCCAATCACAATTCAGTATGTCCAGTAACTTTCCACCAATCAGCGAACACGTTGCATTCCGCATGTGCACAGCCTGGCCAATCAGCAGTTACAATTGTAGCTGACATGTTTCAGTTCGATGTGTTTATAGAAAGCTCTCGTAACCACTTTCACACGGCATTTACTTCTCTTCGAACACTTCGCCATCGACCTCGTAAGCTTTTTCTTAAAATTCTTCACTTGTCCTACAAAATAATTTAATATCCTTCATTAGATCGGGATTCAGTTTGGTAGAAAGCAGAAAGCAATCTACACACACACATGTATCAAAAGTGTCAAAGTCCCCGCTGATTGGTCTACACTATTTCTATTATCAGAACTCCTTTCAGCACATCTAAAAGGAATTTAAAATAATCAGCCAGTTACATATCACTCTTTTAATCACAGATACAAACATAGGAAACAATCTCTTCAGCCATGTTGCAAGTGAATCAAATTCGCGTTACATTGAGCAAAGTCGCGTTAATTTTACGTGAATATCGATATACTTTTTTGAAAGCAAACATTACACAAAGTACTCACTTTTTGTTGTGGAGCCAAAAATCATTTCCTGTGTGGCCTGTTTCCGAAAATGGTCAGACGGAAACATGAACTTCTCCAAAGCTGACAGACGGATGTTGGCGGACATAGCCTTGCACTTCTGCTTCTGCGCTGGTTGATTTGCGACGCAAGCTGAAGGCAAAGTGGACAGAACTGATAAAACTGGAGGGAAATTAACTTCTAACAAGCTACTACTGGTTTAAACAATATGTCAATTCATTGTACAGGGAAAGCCTTTGGCATAGCTACACACAGGGACCAGTGGACAGAACTGTTAAAACTGGAGGGAAATTAACTTCTAACAAGCTACTACTGGTTTAAACAATATGTCAATACATTGTACAGGGAAAGCCTTTGGCATAGCTACACACAGGGACCAGTGGACAGAACTGTTAAAACTGGAGGGAAATTAACTTCTAACAAGCTACTACTGGTTTAAACAATATGTCAATACATTGTACAGGGAAAGCCTTTGGCATAGCTACACACAGGGACTTGATAAAGGAAAAGTATTTAAAATTTATTTTAAACCTAAAATCAACGCCTCCCGACCCGACATCCCAGATAATTTTGAATTTTAGCAGAAGGTATAAAAATAACCTAAGCAATGGTTATGAGTGCAAATCTCCCAACGAGCAATCTGGTGTTTTTTTTGTGTTTTTTTTTCAATCACTACACCGACATCTCTGCACACTCAAGCTGGTACGCATGTCAAACACAACAAAGCAAAAACACTGCTTGTTGCACCTACTTGTCCCCCTATCAAGGCCCTGTCCTGGACCAGCTCTTAATTCAATTCACTCCGAACAGGAGCTAGCTTCGCCTCTGACACATTAGTGTTATCTTTTTCTTTAACAATTCCAATATTGACGTTATTTTCTGTAACAGAAATTCACACTTACAAGTAATGTAGCAAATTGAAAAAATATAGCTAAACGTGGCATGACCATACTCGCATGTGATGTTGATTAAAATATTGATACTTTGTCCGTGTTCAATGTAGCGGTAACTGACAGTAGCCTTACCTCGCTGTTTGAGACGCCACCGCCAGACTTCCACCTCCTGTGACTTAGCGTCGTCGAACGCCACAAAGAGATATCTGCTATCCACATACCGGTACACTATGTGGTCTCGCTTCTTGGCCATGCACATTTGTCCAAAAAACTCAGGAATTGTCAAATTATGTATATCAATATTATCTCTTATTGAAGGAAGTGAGGTCACATCCACACCTGGTGAAGTCCCCGACTGACCTACTTGGTTCCGGTTTCTCTTTCTTCCTTGCCTTCTTCCTGTTACAACACAAAGATTAGTATTCATTTGCTGTTGAGCTGAGACCATGTGGAATATTCCTTTCTCCTCCCTCCACATATGACACACGCATCACGTGCAAAACACTCAAATAGGACGGAAACAAATCCTCTGAGTTTAAATGGTTTGGTATATCTTGTCAGCTGACGATCTGAAAGGCGACTCCTGTTAAATTCAATTAGCATTACGGCTACGGTTTTCAATGGTTAAAATTAGACTTAATTTACTTTGCAACAATTACGAAATAAGTTCTATCAACATATATCAATCAATCCTGTCGACCCGGATTGAAGCGCACATAGGATTAATTGGGAGGGAACTCGGGTACCAGATGAAAACAGACGTAGGAGGGCAGGTGACCAAATACCTTTTTAAGTCCAATCGGAATTTTGTTTTACTTGTTACTTTGATTATTACTTTAAAAAAGAAAGTCATTTTATCGGAAACATTTTCTTCTTGACGTTGGTCTTATTCATTGAATTTAAACTCACCTTTTTTCTTTTTGTTTCTTTTGTTCTTCCTTCGCAAGTTCGTCAAGCATTCCTTTTTGGGTTTCTTCTTCCTGCGACATGACTTACAGCAGGAGTTCCCCCGCCGTCTTGGGTTCTTACAGGGCAGCAGATCGTCGGTAGGGCATGTCAGTTTTTGGCAGTCTATTTCCCCGTTCTACAAACGACAAAGGTAAACAGTTATTGTTTTTTGCACGTTATTGCATGGAATCATATACGATATTTTTATAACGTCATAAAAGGCGAAGTCCCGCTGGAGTCACAACAATAACGTGAATATTGCAATAGTGTGCCAGAAGAACAGTAAAATAGTGTATGTGTGTATGGGTGTCAGAGGCAGGGTATATTTGTGTCTTTGTGATAGCGCGGATCTGATGTCGACTTTGTAGTGCTCAAAATGCTGAACGTGAAGCAGGGAATAACAACTACCATTTTTAAGGACTTCGGCATGTCCCGGCATTGAAACAGAACCCATTGCCTTCCTCACCTGGGCGAATGTTCAACGTTAAAGCCAAAAGTGAGGTGTTGCCAAGCAGGGCGTAAGGAAAAAAGGGAATTTTAAAGTAGAGAGAAATGCAAAGAACCCAAATATTGCAATGGGTGCAGCATATTTATTTTGGTCGCTTTTGGGTCCCCAAGAAGAGGGCACAAACGCAAATCCCCAATTCTGCAGGGGATTCGCACATTAGTCGCCTCTTATGATACAGACGGGACTGTACTATATAGAACTCAATAAGTTGTTAAATCATGATCCTATGTTGACATGTCCTTCTATGTGGCCCTTTCCGAGGGAGCTGTTCGCTGATGGGTGTTATTACAAATTAACGTTGATTTCGTATTAATTAAGATCGAACTTTCAAATGACATTTAATGTACGAAACATATTATGGTCTTTCCCTGTGTGTTGTAAGAGGAGAAATAGTGCCCTCACCTATATGCTCAGGATGTAAAGCGAGGACACTCTTTTGCATATGTTTACTGTTTTAAATTGACAAGCAAGTCAGAAAAAAACTCCGAACTAATTGGAACTTTTCTTGGTTGAAAATACAATGCAGACCACTGGCACTTTCTTCCTTAATGAATACAATATAATTTTAATTTAAATGCTTAAACTACATGAAACACATGTTTGTATGACGCTACGCTATTATTATTTCCTTTGTATCTATGTGGGGTATTCGATAACTTTGTCACTTCGCCGCTTAGATAAGGAACCCAGAACAATAGTCAATAGACTATCAACGTTTTCAACATGCAAAGTTACACGTCTCCATAGGAGTCTAACATTCGTTATTGCTTACATGGCTGTCGAACTCGCAAACTAAGTATATCTCTCCAAACAATAGCTCAGTGGAAATAATCTCTCCAAACAATAGCTCAGTGGAAACAATCTCTCCAAACAATAGCTCAGTGGAAACAATCTCTTCAAACAAAAGCTCAGTGGAAACAAGCTCTCCAAACAATAGCTCAGTGGAAACAATCTCTTCAAACAAAAGCTCAGTGGAAACAATCCCTCAAAACAATAGCTCAGTGGAAACAATCTCTTCAAACAAAAGCTCAGTGGAAACAAGCTCTCCAAACAATAGCTCAGTGGAAACAATCTCTCCAAACAGTAGCTCAGTGGAAACAATCTCTCCAAACAATAACTCAGTGGAAACAATCAAACTTACCGTCAAAGCTTTGCATTAGAACACACTTTCAATATCGTCAAAAACTCACACTATCGACGAAATAGAGAATCTGTGGTGTTAATGAGAACAGTTTACCATTGGGTAATATATTTTGCGAATAGGATAATATACCCATACAGGTCTACAATGATCATTTAAAACTAAAAATTGAAACAACGGAAATTGTGTGGGGAACGACAGTTTACAATGTAGCAGTAAATGATGTACCAAAGCATGTAATATATCAGATGGAACCGCTCGTACTATTCTGTCTAAATATGTAGGTCTAAGGCAGATCAGCCTTAGATTAATACCTCATAGTAGAATGGTTTTAGACACCTGTCCAAAAACGGTTACAAAACGGGTCTCGTATTTCTTGTTCTTTAATTCAAACTGTCCTGTCACCAACATAGGTACGAAGCTGCTGAAAGTGTCAGAGAATTTACACAGAGGAAATCTACAACACAAAGCGGCAAACTTCCTTTATCTTCCTTAATTTCAGGACTTTTTGTTGCATCGTTTATCTGTCGGCGTAGTCTTATGTTGCAACAGGACACCGAGATTTTCGAGGATTTGTTGAAACTGCCTTACCCAAAACTTCGCCCAAGTCATCCATTGCCCACAATACAGTCTAGATTTTAGATTTGTTCCCGATCGAGCAGTTTCTGGGAAGGACTGAACAATGGGTGGTTCGGAAGCACGTGAACATCACCAGCAACTTCGCTCATATCAAGCTGGCTATGTTTCAGCAGTGGTTACCATCCCTCGAAAGACAATTTACAGATTGAAGGGATCAATGTTTATGAAAAGGAAATAACAAGAAAATACCTAGAGCAAAATATGAAAGAAGAAAACGCAAGTAAAAGAAGCAAGACCAGATGTCCGGAATGATAAGATTCAGTGTCTACTCACCAGACAGGAACAGGTGACACAGTTGGACACTTGGGGCCGCCATTCTGAACCGTTTTCGTGGATGGCCCCTTCTGAGTCCAGGCAATCTGTAATAACAAAACACAAGGTCACAACATGTGATAACATAACGAAGCACGTGCAAATATGACAACACGAGCAAATACAACACATCAAAGAGAAGCGCTGCACACAAACCCACATCAGTGAAAAGGTCACAACACATGTATAATTCAATATAACAACGCAAAGTGCAAGACAAACACGCACACATAATTAAAAGCATACACAAATCTTTTCGGTACAGGCACGTCTAACTCTGCCATCTTTTCTGTGAAATAACAATATCATTACACACGTAACACAACGCAGAACTTGGACGTGTAATGTATACATTTCATTAAAAAACATGATCACTAGAAAAAAGTAGAAATGAGGCATTTGAAAACCTTGTTTGTAGATGCAGAAAGACCTATTTATGACAAGAAAGAGTAACCGAGGTGCTAGATGTCCCTTATCTAGTTATTGAAAATTCACTGCGGCGCTGACACCAGTTGTAAAGGTAGTATACCAAAACATTTGCTGTTTTTTGCACATATTCATTCATTAAATTCCGATTAGAAGTTGTATCCCGGTAATATGAGCTAGCTGCAGAACTTTTAGACGAAATTGTCCAAAAAGTAATTTACATGACCGAGTTCCTAAAGAGGTTATCTCCCTTTAACCGCTTCAGGAACATGGAAGTTAATAACGTGTACGACGCTAACAGGATGAGGGAGGTTATTAATGCGGCGAAGTTTAGTGGAATTGTTTAGGAACGCATGGCCTTACCGTACTCAGCTTTTTGTTCTGGGTCTACTGAAGAACCGTTCTCATCAAGCGAGGCGTTAGCGTCGTCTGCAAGTGTAAATTTAGGCCACGTGAGGAAACGGACAAAATGGAGTTTCATTCCAAATATTGTGACAGCAGAGACCTCAATTAAATCAGATAATTAGGAGAATTTTGAATAAATTATTCTATGAATATTTTGATTATTGGATATAAATAGATTTCACTAAAGTAGATATTTTTGTGCGGGCCTCGCTTGATAAGATTTGTCAGAATTCTTAGTTATACAGTACGTCATTGTGTACATGTTTGTTTAAATAACTAACTTGTGTTTACTTAGGGTACTGGCGTATGATAGCGGCAGAAAGCATCATTAGAGATCAGATGTATCAAAGAATTCACACCAGTCTATGAAATAATTAGAAAAAGCGCCTAGATAATAACTCAACTGATTAAGACGAGCTACAATGTGAATTAGAAAGATTCGAGAGAGAAAAAAACAATAGAAAATGATGCATGCAATAATTCTGTAAAATAAGGCTTCTCAACTAATAACGTATAGTTACTGTTATTTCAATGAATTCGCAGCATGACATTTATTTATTTATTTATTTATTTGTTGATAAGTTTACTTTTTGCGTCCCTACATTCACCATACCCACTCACATAGCTGACATGAACATTAATAACAATCTTAGTGTTTTTAACAAAGATAGTTTAATAAATTGTGGAAGAAAGTGAATCTCCGTGAAAATAATTAACTGAGTAACATAAAAAGGGTACAACTTGGCAAAGCCTCATTCTGAACATAACCAGCAAACCAGCAGCTAGTGTTGTCCCCCGTCTCTGTCAGCCAGTGATGCAAATATATATAAATATGATTCTCCTTTAAATATCAATAAAGAAACTCTTCACATGATTTACTTATAGAAATACCCTGAACATTGTGGTATCAATCTACGCTAGGCGCTTTACCTGAACATTGTGGACGCCAGCCTAAGGTAAGAGATTTATCTAAACATTGCGTAAACTTTAAATACGGCATGTACTCGTCAATTTAGGTAAGGGTCTTACCTGCACATTGCGGACAACAATTGTCACTATGGTTCAGCCATTTCTTACACTTCTTGGGAATGTTGCAAGTTTTCAAGTAACAGAGTACATCTCCCTTCTGTAAAGACAGAATCACAAAGAATATATATCATTAATACAACATCTATATAACAGCGTGTTTGAAGGATTATATTGATCTCATGTGGGGGAAATAAAACACCGTGTTCCCTTCACACGTTCGGGTTTCCCCGTTATTTCCCCCTTTTTCGGAGCCTCTCTAAAAATGAAACAGACGACAACAATGGCGCGTAAACCTGACCATCTTTACCGTTGTGTTATTGTCTTGTTTCGGTTACAGTAGAATAAAATACTTATTGTCCATCTGGTAGGGAAAACACAATTTTTGTTTCCCCGAGAGTCATCATGTTTCACGAGAGCGAAATGAAATGGCTGGGAAACATGATTAATCTCAGGGAAACAAAGAATCATGTTTCCCTTCTGCAAGGACAATAAATGTACGATGTATTTTGCTATACAACCTTACGAATTCTTGTAGTATACAACGCTATGGAGTGTCATGTATGGTTTTGAAAATTTATCCTTCAGCTTTACTTAGCATTCTAATACATCGGAATCGATAGATGTTTGTAAATATTAAGACGGGTTGAAGCTGATAACACGATGTATTTATTTCTGGAAGAGTTCCTTACCTTATATATAAAATAAACTACATAAGAATTCAGAATGATCCATTGTCTGTCGTGGGGTCTAGAGTACAGCGTCTGGACACTGGTGCGCTGGTAGGCGCGGGTCCGATCCCCGATCTCAGAGGAAACTTAGGGTTGGCCCCTTTTAAGTCTTAAAATAGATTGAGATGCGAGTGTGTTGACGGTTGATTCCATAGCTGTCCTGACCCGGGATGATTTATTCTAATACCCAACCTCATTCACCGGCAGAACGGGCGAGGCTCATCCGGTTATAACGAGCAAGATGTACTCTGTAGTTCGCTGATGTGGTTAAAGACTCAGAAAGGAAAGAAATTTAGGAAGTGCACAGGGATGGAAATATATTATGTGATTTGTCCCTCGTAAACATGAACCCATTATGTATGATAGTCTAGCTGTTACCGAAGACATCGAAAATAGACGTCACACAACTTCCTTATCTGATAACGCAATTTTGAGGTTGATGAGAGAAAAGTTGAACAACTCTGAAGTATACTAACCGAGGTTGGAGGCAGACGTTATATTGTACCTGTAATACTCAATGATAATGATATACGAGTATGCTATCGATATAATTATATGTAGAAGATTGCATTAATTACAAGTAACATCAATAGTAGCAGAGCATGATTGGATGGCGCAGTGGATGGCGCACTCGCCTTTTATCAAAACCGATGTGGTTCGACTCGATCAGACGTGAAAAGGTGTTGGGTCACCTGCCCGACCACTTGGATTTTGTCCTCTCATATTCCACACTTTCATCCGGACGGGGTGATTAATATAAGTTTAAAAAGAAGTTATTTACCCAATTGTTGTAAAACATACGTTTGGGCGTAGTATTTTCCGACCCCTGTTAATTACAGTAATGTGATACTGTTGTAGAGACAAGCAGTTATGAGGTACTTACCGTACATATACAGTTGATACACTGGTTGTCAGCGTTCAGTATGATGCCCGTCGAGTTGGAGTTGAATACTTCGCCGTCCGCGTACGTGTTGCCGTCGTACTCACAACCCTGTCCTCCGATTTTATCCTCCCTTTTGTCGTCCGGCACGACTGTAGGAGGAAGGTTGGCAAAATCTACATGAAAATAGGGGCCCACTCTTACCCAGTCATCTAACAAGCAAATTAAAAACATGCAAAACCAAACAAAGGGTACAAGAAAAAATCCCGGGAAGGTCTAACAAGAAAGTGTACCATGCGTCATCGCACAGGGACTCGGAGCGATGCTTAGTTTGAATAGTAAGGATGTGTGCTAACTACTGTAACATAGAGACTTAAGGATGTATTCTACCTTATTGTGGTAAAGAGACTTAAGGATGTACGCTACCTTATTGTGGTAAAAGGACTTAAGGACATATGCTACGTTACTGTGACAGCCAGACTTAAGAATGTATATGTTACCATACTATGACATGAAGACTTAAGGATGTATGTTACCATACCATGACATGAAGACTTAAGGATGTATGTTACCATACTATGACATGAAGACTTAAGGATGTATGCTATGTACCTTAATGTGACATGGAGACCTACCGATGTATGCTACCTTATTGTGACAAAGAGACTTAAGGATGTATGCTTCTTTATTGTGACATGGAGACTTAAGGATGTATACTTCTTTATTGTGACATGGAGACTTAAGGATGTATGCTACCTTACCCTGGCAAAGAGACTTGGGGATGTATACAACCATACTGTGACAGGGATATTTAAGGGTTAATGCTACCTTATTGTGGCACATACACTTTTCTGTTAAGCGGAGACTTAATGGTGTATGCTACCTTATAGTGACATAGAGACTTAAGAGTGTATGCTACCTAACTGTGACATTGAGATTAAAGGGTGTTAGCTACCATACTGTGACATGGAGACTTCAGGGTGTATGCTACATTATTGTGACATAGTGACTTAAATGTGTATGCAACCATACTGTGACAAGGTGGACTTAAATGTGTATGGTATCTTACTGTCAGATAGAGACTTCTGTTTGCTACCTAACTCAAAAGAAAATCTAACACAAATCATAGATAAATGGTAGCATATATCATTTACTAAAAGTCCAACCACAGGTATAATGTATAAGGTAGCATACAGCCTTAACTCTAACACAGTCCACAGGTATAATGTGTAAGGTAGCATACAGCCTTACCTCTAAC